CGGATGTAATTGCCACTTTGCAATGATTGCAAAGCGCCTTGTTGCAATTTTTCTCATTAGAATGAAACCTCCGATCGGTTTACCCCATGGAACGCCATTTTTTTTTTTCCTTTTCCAGACTTACGCCTGGTGTCGTCGCACTTGCTTACTGAATGCTGTGTGCATAACTTGCGTAAAAAAGGTGACGTAAGTCTTGCAGCCCAGTGCTAGGCTCTGGTGCTGCCTGGAATCGATAAGAGAATCAATGCAATGGAATTGGAACACACGGAACCGGTTCTGAACAGGAACCGGTTTTCGATTCCCATCCCTACCTCACACGGCCTTATACTTCCTCTCAACACACCATTTCACCCACCTGTCGATTAAACTGATGCATGTTGCTTCATTTTTAGTGGTAGTTACATGTTTTAGGCCATTAAACCCTTTAAGAAGTGACAGATTTTCATCTGTGAGCAATATCAGCTACGGTAGTAGCCATTCAAAATTTCCCTACTTTCATTGATGGGTCCTTGGATGGTCCCCTACAATTCCTTTTTAAACATCAATATTTGTTCTAAAATATTCTGTCTGTCATGATCTGTGGACATTTAGATCTAAAGAGAAGCGTAATTTCCTGGTCAGACCCTGTAATTCAGTGAAAGGGTGGAGTCAGAGTAAAATAATATGCACGAGGGGGTCACTCCAGTGGCTGGGCGTTGGAGGTGATTTTTGCTGTGAGATGTAGGGAAGTGAGCAGCCATTCGGCTGGCGTAGAAAGCGCCATTTTGAATGGTTGCGATTGTATGAGTGTCCTGATAATATTTACCAAAGTAAATACAATTCCTGATATATGATTATCACCTTAAATTATTTGATTAACGCACTTGGCAGTAAAACTGGTGAGAAATCCTCTTGGATGAGAGAATGTGAGGTTTGTTTGGTACAAAGTAGCTGAAACAGTGAAAGTAGGAGAAGATGAAAAAGACTAAAATAAACCCCTTAGTTTTCCTCTCTCCTGATTTACTTCATGCTTCTTTTTTTTTTAACTTTCTCTACTGTTTATCACAACCCTTCGTTTTGCTTCTCTTTCTTGTTTGACCGTGATGTTCAGAGTTTTTATTATTAAATTCTCCCTGTGTGAGCTGTAGTCGCAGTGTGACTCAGCAGATGGTTATATATAGAGAAACAGCACCCCCTATTGGTAGATAGAAGTGAAAACACTACTTTTAGATTTCATGCTTCGTTCTTCTGATATTATAATCGCTCCCTTCCTCCACTGTTACTTTTCATCTTCAATGCTTCTGTTTAATACCCAAGCTACAGAACAGGGCCCTCTGTTTCCTGCTGTCTGTTCTTTAAAGGTGATTATGAACACATGTATTTATTTAGGCTGTGGGTTTGTTGTGTTTTACAGCCTCTGGGGTTAAATGCGAGGCTGTTGGTGCCACAGAGGAGGATGCTCCGACCCCGGCTGAAGCCCCCATCATCATGCTGGGGCCCCTCGAGAATAAGAGCTTCGTGGACGAGCTTTCTGATGGAGTCCAGTCCATGGACGTCAGGTAAAAATGCTCGGGGAGGATATTTCTCTCCATGTCAGTGAATGGCTATCGCCTTTCAAGTGAATTTCTGGCGTGGTTCTTTAAATGTGTCTTTGTGAGCTTCCTCTGGAGATCCACAGGGAGACAAGTTGAGGTTACCTGCATGGTTTCTGGAACATAAAGCAAACCAGGAAGGTTCAGATGCAGATATGATCATGTTCTTTGATGATGCTGTATCTTGTTATCCCGGGGTTAACAGTAGAACAAATCAGAAATGAATGGACATATTTCCAGCCACTGCAGAGGGATCCTCCAGCAGAGATCAAAACATAGAGTTAGATAGATTCACCGTTTTAGATCAACTTAAAAAAACAGGCAACAAAGGCTCCCACTTTTTTCACCCTGGTGTTTTTATTGGTTTTATTTGAGTTTGAGTTACCTTAAAAGCTTAAAATTAGATTTTTATTTATTTTAACAATGTAAATTTGATCCCGCTGATGATTAAGATTGAAAAAGTTGCTTCACTTTTCTTCCTTAAGGTTTACTTCCTTCATGATGATAGATAATTCATATGATTTACCAAATGCTGGAAATGACCTGCAAAATGAAATTATACGCAAATTTTACGTATTTTATTAAGCTCTCATATGATGGATCAACAGTTGTGGATAATTGTGAAGTGGTAAAAAAATAAATGTTTTTTTTTTTTTCGTTTTTTTCTTCTGAAAAATCTGGCCTGCATTTGTGTTTATCGTTCTCCACTTTGATGCAAATTAAATCCACATCAGGGAGAAACTGTTGGCCCTAAGACATTATTGAATGTTTTGAAGAACTTACTGAGCTCCGTTCAGACGATCTTCTGAACATGGAGAGAGATGACCAACCACAGAGCTGCTGTCACAGTGGGATGGAGGTTTGACAGGAGGACCCAATGGCAG